GATGTAGTTAATCAAGAAACACCAGGACCCGAAAAGTCGACCTAAAAGAGAGTTAGGCTCTGCTGATAAACCCTTCACCGGAATGATGATATCTCTTATGGGACGTCTCACGAGAACACATGTAATCGCAGCCTGACTATACTTGTTAGGATCTATATTGTGGTTCCTTGCTTTACACGCTTGTTTTCCTCTGTATCCGTTGCAGCAATATTGGAAGAAAAAGATCGAGAGACATGGAGGGAAAGTCTCCAACTCTGTTCAGGGAGTAACGTGTTTGGTTGTCTCGCCGGCTGAAAGAGAACGAGGTGGTTCCTCGAAAATGGTGGAAGCAATGTAAGGGCTTAGGGTTTTAGAAGCTCTCGTTTTCGCTTTTGAAATCTTTAACACGGTCATGTTGCTTGTGACTCAAGGGAACGAGGTTTACCTGTTGTGAGCGAAGCATGGTTGATCGATAGTGTGGAGAAGCAAGAAGCTCAGCCACTTGAAGCTTATGACGTGGTTAGTGATCTTTCAGTGGAAGGGAAAGGAATCCCATGGGATAAGCAAGATCCAAGCGAGGAGGCAATTGAATCTTTATCGGCCGAGGTATTGATTTGCCCACCTAGGTAAGGCAGTTTCGTGATAGATTAAAGAATCTGATTTGTCTTTTTTTTTTTCAGCTCAAAATGTATGGGAAAAGAGGAGTCTACAAGGACACGAAACTTCAGGAGAAAGGAGGGACAATTTTCGAAAAAGATGGTCTTTTGTATAATTGTGCCTTCTCATTATGCGACTTGGGAAAAGGACGTAACGAGTATGACACTAAATTATCTTTGCAATATTTCTGTTTTTTTTGTTTTCTAAGTTGGAAGAGTTTCTTGATCCGCTTGTTATTACAGGTATTGTATTATGCAACTAGTCACGGTACCGGAGAGTAACCTGAATATGTACTACAAGAGAGGGAAAGTTGGAGATGACGCTAATGCAGAAGAGCGGCTCGAGGAATGGGAGGACGAAGAAGCTGCGATCAAAGAGTTTGTGAGGCTCTTTGAGGAGATAACAGGGAATGAATTTGATCCATGGGAACGTGAGAAGAAGATTCAAAAGAAGCCTCATAAATTTTTTCCAATTGATATGGTATATATCCGTTGTTGTACCCCTCGAGTGATCTCTTTTGTTTCGTCACGCATCACGCGAGTGATGAGTATTTTGATGTTCTGGGGATTATGCAGGATGATGGTATCGAAGTGAGAAGTGGGGCGCTTGGTCTAAGGCAGCTTGGTGTTGCTGCAGCTCATTGCAAGCTTGATTCATTTGTTGCCAACTTCATTAAAGTTCTATGTGGTCAAGAGATCTACAAGTAATGTTCAGGCACAGTCCTCATTTTATGAAGAACTCTTCTTTGCTTGCGAGTGTTATGAATCTTTGGCGTTTTCTCACAGATATGCTTTAATGGAGCTTGGTTTGGATCCACCTGATCTCCCTATTGGAATGCTAACTGATATCCACATGAAACGATGTAAGGCTTGGTGGACCGATTAGCTTATTGCTGTTCTGATCTTGACTTGTGAGTTTGGCTCTGCTTTTTTCAGGCGAAGAAGTATTACTGGAGTTTGTCGAGAAGCTTAAGACAACGAAGGAGACAGGTCAGAAAGCCGAGGCAATGTGGGCGGATTTTAGCTCACGGTGGTTCTCTTTGATGTACAGCACAAGGCCGATGCGATTGCATGACGTCCATGAACTCGCCGACCATGTAAGTAATAAATTAAGATCTGTGTTATCTTTCGTATGATTGTACACTGAAGTTTAAGGCATTGGATCAATGTCCAATGTGGCAGGCGGCGTCTGCTTTTGAGACGGTCAGGGACATAAACACAGCTTCTCGATTGATAGGGGACATGCGAGGAGACACACTTGATGACCCATTGTCTGACCGGTACAAGAAACTTGGCTGCAAGATTTCTGTGGTAGACAAAGAGTCGGAAGATTACAAGATGATTGTGAAGTACCTCGAAACAACTTATGAGCCTGTCAGAGTCTCCGACGTTGTAAGCTCCAGTTTCTTGGAATGAACTTTACAAATGTTGCAGATTATTTAACTATAATGACGTGTTATGGACCTTATGGTGGTTGTTTCAGGAGTATGGTGTGTCAGTGGAGAATGTTTTTACGGTCGAGTCAGACGTGATTCCTTCATTAGATGACATCAAGAAGTTACCGAACAAGGTCCTTTTATGGTGTGGTAAGATGTAAAAGATCAGGTGTTACTGTTCTTTCCCTAATTGAATTTGGTCAGTTAAGTTATTGGTGTTTTCTTTTAGGGTCTCGGAGCTCAAATCTATTGCGACATATCTACAAAGGATTCTTACCCGCGGTCTGCTCTCTTCCGGTCCCCGGCTATATGGTAATAAGAACATGCTCTGCTTTTGTCTTCTGCACCATATGCATAGATCATAAGTGTCTTTTGTGGTGTTCGTCTTTTTAGTTTGGGAGAGCCATAGTGTGTTCGGATGCAGCCGCAGAAGCAGCTAGGTACGGTTTCACGGCTCTGGATAGACCAGAGGGGTTTCTTGTATTGGCCGTTGCATCACTTGGTGAGGAAGTTACAGAATTCACAAATCCACCAGAGGACACAAAGACATTGGAGGATAAGAAGATTGGAGTGAAAGGGTTAGGGAGGAAGAAGACTGAAGAATCAGAGCATTTCATGTGGAGAGATGACATAAAGGTTCCTTGTGGACGATTGGTTCCATCAGAACACAAGGACAGTCCTCTCGAGTACAATGAGTACGCTGTGTATGATCCGAAACAGGTGAAATGCCAAAAATTGAATTCGTCTATTGTTGATTAAGACACTTTAGGTGTTTGGCTTACTAGTACGTTTCTTTTGCTTGACAGACAAGTATAAGGTTCTTGGTTGAAGTGAAGTACGAGGAGAAGGGAACCGAGATAGATGTTGAACCGCAGTAGATACATATAGTAGTTTAAATTTTTGCGGTTTAGGCGGCGATTAGCCATGGAGAAACGGTTTTTGGTGTGTTATGCATGTTTTGTTTCTTAGGCTTTGAAATGGTGAATGTGAAAGTGGCGTCTTCTTTTTGGGTTGTAAGGAAACTACTAACTATATGACTGCTATGCAGTGTGAAACTTTTTGATATGCACGGTAATAAAATACTTTCTACTGTTAAAAATTCAAAACAGTCTGAACTGTTTTTATTTTGTTTGAGGTTCGCGTTTTGTAGCATTTTCGGTTCAGTTTACAAACGGGTCTTGTTTGTTCTATCTCTTTATTTGGAAGTGTGTGTCCGAAGCCATTTAGGTATATCAAAACTGGGAACTTTTGGACTGAAATTAAATATAATAAATTTTCAACGATGGTACAATTTGTCTGTACTCTGCATATTTATTTTTGTAGTTTAACCCTATGCCCTCTCGAACAGAAAACATCATGTAGAGATAATGATGACATATTTTTTTCTGCAAGAGTACGTAACCAAAAGTAAATGTTTTTTTAAATTTAGCTTCTTATAGTGTTCTGATGTCTAATGCTGAATAGAAATTGTTTAAGACTTGCAATCACTGTAACAAGAATCCAATAAATGTAGAGTCTACGAAAACAACAGAACCTAATCACCACAGCAAAACCATAATAATACGTTTTCTTATATTGTTGGCTTCTTTACGAAAATTTGTTGAATTATCTGTTCAAACAACGAAATTCATCTATTTTGATTAATATACTTAAGCGAGTACAAAAGGATAACATAAAGATGTCCGAGAAAGACCAATCCACAATACATTTCATGCTATAAAATATAGATTCATCTATCATTTTAAATTTGATTTTCCTATTGGTCCTAGCTTTACCATTGGGCACCTGCTACGCATATTAATATTTATATCTCGCATCTCTCAGTCAAAGCCAAACACTTCTCTCCCTTCCTCATCGTACCAATGATGAAGCCGCCTACTCTATTTGGTAAATTTGGTCTCATATTTTAAAGTCTACGTAGAAAATTAAATGTTTTGCTCCAAAATTTGTATCTCACTTTATTGGTTGAAGAACCCTCCCACTCTTTCCCTCTTTTCCTTCTATTATAGTGAGCGGCAAAACTGAACCAAACCCCGATACCTGAAAATAAACCAAAATGCTACCCATAAGTTTTGATACATGTTAACAATATCATTTTAAAGGTTGATGTTTACAAAATCACAGAAGATTTTGTTGGTAAGTAATAATACCATTTATGTATTAGTAATAATACCACTGATCCTAAATATAACAATTATTTATCTAATACTTTTATACCTATAATTCGAAACG